GACTCTCGATTGTTTTTTTTTTTTTCTTTTCTTTTCTTTTTCTTTTCTCCTTCGTTTCCCGGATGAAGAATTACTTTCCGTTTCTTTCCATTTTATTTATTCGAAGAGCGAGGTAGTTTTTTGTTTGCACTTAGAGTACGCCAATACCGACTGAAAACGGAAACAATAAATCATCTAGACGACCCGGAGATAAACGATTTAGATTATACGGCTTCCCTCTTAAAAGCGCGCGAGGGAGGGAGCGGGAGCGGCAGAGAGCCTCGGACGCTAGCATGTGGAGGGAGCGCGTGGCCATGTTTACTGATCCAAAGGCGATAACGAGTCTGCAGCGAGTCTATTCTTCAGCCAGCCGCCACAAGGATTAAATCACAGAGAGTAAACAGGGTTGCCTACACTGTGGGGGCGACAGCAGCTGAATGGTTTCAAGGGGGGAGAAGGAGGAGGAGGAGGAGAAGGGGGAGGGAAGGTAAGTGAGACTTCAAACTTTCACACTTCGATAATCGCTCGCACTCTCGCCTTGGAAAAGTTTTGGGCCGGAAGAGACCGGAAGAGGAGCCGAGGCTTTAATGTTTCAATTAATAAGAATGACGACTGCTTCCAGACACAGCGACAGAACGCATCAAATAGTCCTTATTTCCAAAGAAAACATCGAGAAAAAAAAGCCTAAGAAGATTTGAAACTAATAAGGATAAGATAAAAGAAAAAGAAAAAAAAGGAAATTAGCAAAAGAAAAAAAAGAACAAGGCAGGAAAGCGAAGGAGGGAAAAGAGTAAAGGGAAAAGATAAAGAGGAAGAGGAAGACCAAAGCGAAAAGAGAAAGAAGCGGAAGCCCAGCGCCTTCTCCAATTTCCCGGCGGCGCGAGAGGCGGCAGCAGCAGCAGCGCCGAGCGACCCCTCCCAAGCCTTGATAGCATTATGATGATCTGTGCGCGCCTGCGATCTTTATGCAAATGTTACAACACATTTAGGGAATCTCCAAACAAAGGAACATCGGTGGCACCCCCACGGCCGCTCGGGGATCATCCGCGGGGCACACTGCTCGCTCGGGCTGCTGATGGCGAAGGAGGAGGCGGCGAAGGGGAAGAGGGAGGGAGGGAAAGGAGAGGGAGGAGGGGAAGCAAGGAGGAGAGGAGGACGGGAAGGAGAAGGAGGCGAAAAGGAAGGAAAGTGGAGAGAGAAGGTACGAATTCATATTTTCTCGAAGAAAGTGTGAGAAACGCAATGAAAGCGACGCGAGTGAGATAAAAAAGAAAAAAGAAGAAGAAAAAAAAAGAGAACGAAATAAAATGAGAAGAGAAAATAGAAGTGCGAAGAGAAGAAGTAATACCAACAGAACCAGGCAGCCATAACGCAAGCATAAGGACAATAAAAAAGAGAAGAAGGAGGAAAGAGAAGACGGAACAGGAAGAGGAGTCTCGAGGCCAAGAGCATCGAGCGGCGGCGAAGAAGGAGAAGAAGCCCTTCCTCTTTCGCCCGCTTGAGTTGCCTCGCTCATTGTTGCCTCCGGGATGAGGATCCACAGATGTGCAGCGGCCGCGTCCTGCAGGAGGCGGACAACACCACCTTCAGCCGGCGCTTCCTGAAGGACTCGGCATCCACAATACCCACCTTTGTCCTCGAGGAACCGTGAGAAACAGGATGTGGATTTTTTTTCTTTTCTCTTTCAAGAAACGAGAACTTTTGCTCGTCCGGAGAAACAAAGAAGAAGAAGGCGGGGAGAAAAAAATAGATATGTGAATCAAAAGCAAGTCTTATGGCAGAGAATAAACACGCCCGGGCCAGCCAGAGCCTGCAGAAGGTCTTTTCCGGATGTAGGCGACGGCGGCGGTGGTGGAACGCCCGCCTGGTTAGTGCCATGCGCGAATAACCGCTACGTTACAAATCCCTTAAGAAAACGCATTACAACCCTCGGAAGCACTTGAAGGGAAGTAAAAAATAAAAAACAAAAAAACAATGTCTCAAAATCGTAAAAAAAAAAAGTTTGTCTCTTACACTAACGGAAAAATACAAAAGGACTCGAACATACCCCAGGTCGTTATTTCTCTCTCTCACTCTCTCTCTTTTTGTCTCTCTCTCTTCTTTCCCACCTCCCTTTCTCCTCCTTTCCCTCCCATTACCATGATGGATACAGGGATAATCTGTGCTGGAGATCGCTACCGACGATACCGGGATGAGGGAACGGGAAGGGGCGAAGGGCCGAAGGGGGGGGAGGGGGAAGGGGAGGGCAAAGGGCGCGTCGGCAGGGCAGCGCTACACTGTTTTACCGGATTATGCAGATAGGATCTTAAACATGTCCGTGGGAACGAGCCAATGACGTATGGTGGAGGGGGGGGGGTTGGTGGTGGGGTAGGGGGTAGGGAGGGCCATGTAGCGAATGACAGTTAGCGGCAATGGCAATTTTGGTTTTGAAAAATGCATGGAAAGCCTAGTGCGGAATTTATCTACACACCGAACTCCGTGTTATATTTCATTATATTGTACGTTATTCCCTCTATTGATGCAACAGTTTGGAGGGGAAAAAAAAGAATCACGTCTATGCATTAAAATTTAACAAACGTTTGAATCAGTTTACATGATAGCAACAATTTCCCTTTAATAAACAAGAGCACGTAACAACAACATCACACTGAATATAGTACCAGTCTTCAACATTTTCACAAATAACAGCAATGAAATAAAACCAAATAAATGAATAGCCTGGCATAAAAAAAATCGAGCTTTCTTTCGTGACAGTCACTCTTTTTTGGGCGCACTTGAGTCTGTTTACACCACATTTATATAGCCATTATCCTAAAGTAACCCTCTTTATGCCTTTCACGTGATCCAGCCATTGGCAAGACTTCAAGTTTTCTTAAAGGCAAAAGGCGTCACGCAAAGGCCCTTCCTCTGTCGTCATGCAAGAGGTTATTTGTGTGACCTGGAACAGTGTGTCAATACCACGGCCTCCTTCGATAGGCCTACAACACGTGCTACATGGACACAACTCACGCCAGGCAGCTTCACAACGAACTTGCAGTTATCAGACAAAACTACAGCTAATACTAACAAGTACATCATTAGAAAATAACTATCACATGGTGGATATACGCTATTTGGTTACAGGTTACTGTTATTACTCCAAACACTACAGAACCAACAGAGATGGTAGAGATCAGTCAAACTACAAACAACGGTTAGTTCTTTTAGTCTTCTACATGAGCCACTCGACGCTACATTGTCTCTCAAGATGCCTTGTGCAGGAGCGGTTGGGGGAAATCTCGGCCTTATTAACGTACTGATGCATTTACGGAGAAAAAAAGAAACATACCAATTTACTCCAATTATCAGCCCTTGGATCATTAGGGTCTATCTTCGGAATCATTATATTTGAAAGTTAATTTTACTTTTGAAAATTATACGGGGTTTAATTTTGTCTTTAATTTGAACTTAACAGAATCATGAATTTTGAGGTTGAAGGCTAAAACGAGCTCGAGCCCGATTCTACGGCCGCAGATGGGTAGTCTCCCCCCCCCCTTCCCCCTTCCCCCTCCCTCCCTCCTCCGCCCACGGCCCTTGTAAGAGAGTAACAAGTACCGTGATTGAGGGAGTGAAACAGACGGCGGAAGAGGATGAGGATGACGGGGGAGGGGAAGAGGGGAAGGGCGGGGGATGGAGAGAAAAGGGAATAAGGACGGGAGAAGGGGAAGGGGGGGGGAGGGGAAGAGGGGAAGGACGGGGGGAAGGAGAGAAGAGGGAATAAGGACGGGAGAAGGGGAAGGGGGGGAGGGGAAGAGGGGAAGGACGGGGGAAGGAGAGAAGAGGGAATAAGGACGGGAGAAGAGGAAGGGTGGGGGGGGGGGAGAGGAGATAGGCGAGAAGAGGGGGGGGGAGTGGGGGAAGTGGAGGAAGAGGGGGAAGGGGGGGTGGTGGTGGTCCTGGAGGAACTATCAAGGAGGAGCTGAAGAAAGGGATGGCGGGAGTTGGCTAACTGCGCCGCGAGGATGAAGCAAGAGAGGCATTGTCTTGGGAAAAGTTCCAGAAGTTCAGCGCAGGATAGTCCATACGCCTACTAGGAGGAGGAGGAGGAGGAGGAGGAGGAGGAGGAGGAGGAGGAGGAAGAGGAGGAGGAGGAGGAGGGGGATAAGGGGAAGAAGAAGAAAAGAAGAAGAAGAAGGAGAAGGAGAAGAAGAAGAAAGAAAGAAAAAAAAAAAGAAGGAGGAGGAGGAAGAGGAGGAAGAGGAAGAAGAGGTATATGAGCATAAGGAGGAGAAAAAAATATGATGAGAAGAAAAAAGGAAGGACGAGGAGGTGGAGATTGCGGACAGAGGAGAGGAACAAGAAGTGGAGGAGGAGAGAGAGAGAGAAAAATAATACAAAGTCGAGAAATGAAGAAGACGAAAGATGACGAAGAGGAACAGAAAGGGCAAAAGAAACGAGGGAAAAAGAGAAAAAGACGGAGGAGCCCCAGATTTCTAAATGACTTTGGAAAGAAGTTACTTTAAGGGAGGAAAGAAAACCATCAGACCTTCAATTTTTACGGATGAACTCTAGGTCATGGCGAGGAAAAGGGGGGGAGGGGAGGGGTAGGGGAAAAAGGGGGGGGGAGACGATCGGCTAACGGCACAAGAAATTCAACCAAACGATCTTTCTCTTAATACCTTATATCATCTCATTCAAAACCAATAAACTCAAATAAATAAAACAAAAAAACAAAAAAAAATGAGACGTGCCAATCTACTGGTTATAATTTCAAAGAAAACTCGAGTTAGTAACAATAAGACAAAAAAAAAGAGGAGGAAAATAAAGAAGACCAACACAAGAAACCAAGAGAGAGCCATGCGTTCAGAGGCTCAAGATCTTCCCTACTGAGCGTCAACCTTCATACCTGTTTGGTGACTGAATCTATAAGTCTCATATAAATATCTTGTTGCTGCCTTATTCCTGCAAATAAAAAGAAAAGAAAATAACAAATTAAAACGAATAAAGAAAATGTTTTAGGGAGTCTTAAAAACTATATTTACCTGTTTTGTAACGGAGTCTATTATTCTCACGTATATTTCTTGTTCTTGTCTAACTCCTGCAATTAAAGTAACACATTATTACTTATTACACACTGGCATAGACATGTCAGGGTCGATACATGCTGAAAATATGAGAAAGTCATGTTAAATTGATCTTATGGTGATTCCAGAACTGAAGAGGAAACACCATGAAGTTAAAAATATAAATATAAGTGTATATTTATATATATTTATACACATCACAAAAAAAACGTACACTATTCATAGAGTTTCCCTCCATTTTCTAAAATTAACCTACTCACTAGCCTTAAAAATACAACTTAATAAAACAAGGTTAACCTACATAGTCTTCAAGAACTCGAACAAACTCAAAACATTTATAAAAAAAAGGAGACAGAAAATAAATAAAAACCTAAGAGAGAAAAATGTCTACAAGATGACAGATGAATCTCCCTTTTTTCCCATTTTTTTTTCTTACCAAACACAAAAGGTTATAGAAACAGTATATTAAAAACAATAATACCTCAGAAATGATACAAGACAAGAGTCATGGCCGTGTATCTCTTTCCCCTTTTTTTTCCTCCCCTTTCCCTCTCCTCCCTCAGTATTTCCTACAGACACACAGACACGAGATATCCTAACCCATTAAGTAAGTTTTCTATCCAATAGAGAATTATTTATCTTAAGACTCTCCGGGAAGAACCAACCGCGGTCTTTTGTCCTGCCTCCCAACCAATGATAACCGCGCGGCCCCACGAGACTCCGCCATTGTTGTTGTCGGCAAATATCTTTCGTCATTATTCCACCACGCTCGCTCTTGTTTTCGAGGCAGCGAAACGATTTTTTTTTTCCTTTTGAATGTTTCTATCGCAAAAAGGGAAGAATGTATTAGGCTTTAAGAGAGATGGAAATCTGATGATGTTTTATATATATATTTATAAAAAAAGAAAAAAACGAGAGACGGAGGAAGAAAAATATTACGAGGGTAGGGATCATGTGAATAAAATATAGTTATAATCTCTTAACAACGTGGGGGTATTCGCGCGGTTACTGCGGCCGAGACACTTATCTGGGCATAATGTAAGATGCATGAACGCTCTTGTATACAAACACACACACACACACACACACACACACACACACACACACACACACACACACACACACACACACACACACACACACACACACACACACACACACACACACACACACACACACGCACACACACATACACCCCCCCCCCCCACAACACACACATACACACGCACACACACACATAACCCCCCCCCCCCTTCCCAGCGCCGCCCCATAACCTTCACACAGCATAAGTGTCAAGCGAGCGAGTCATTGAAAGGGCATTCGGAAGAGGCAGGACTGAGTTTCGCGTCTAATTACATTACTGATTAAGAGCAACGGGATATTTGAGACGAAGCGGTACACGAGGTAGCTAACCAAGAGAAAAATCACGAAGAGGGGAAATAATGAATAACGAGGAAGGAGAAACGGTCTATAGTTTTCTGAGCGAATGTGATTATACAGGATTTAACCTTATCTCCTCTCTCTCTCTCTCTCTCTCTCTCTCTCTCTCTCTCTCTCTCTCTCTCTCTCTCTCTCTCTCCTCTCTCTCTCTCTCTCTCTCTCCCCCTCCCTCCCTCCCTCCCCCGCCTCTCTCTCTCTCTCTCTCTCTCTCTCTCTCTCTCTCCCTCTCTCTCTCTCTCTCTCTCTCTCTCCCTCTCCCTCTCTGTCACTCACTCATCATGCAAATAATCTTCACCTTAAACATAGTTCTAAGAAGACGATCTTATATTGAGTAAACAAGAAGAGAAAAAAAAAGTTAAGAGTGAGAACCAAGACAAAAAAAGAAAAAAAAAGAAGAAGAAAAAGACGAAGAAAAAAAAAAGAATTAACAAGTAAAAGACGTAGCCACACACCAAAGCATGTATCTGCATCCGCGTGTGTGTGTGTCTGCCTGAGTGTCCGTGTGCGTGTGTGTGTGTGTGTGCATATGTGTGTGTGTGTGTGTGTGTGTGTGTGTGTGTGTGTGTGTGTGTGTGTGTGTGTGTGTGTGTGTGTGCGTGTGTATGTGTGTGTGTGTGAAGGCTCGCCCGTATCTGCAGGCGTAGAGGAAGGGGGGGGGGAGGGGAAGAAGAGGGGGAAGCAGGCAGGGGGAGGGGAGGGGATAACGGTAGGGGGGGGTAGGGGTTGCAAGCAGAGGATAGGCGTGCGGAGGGGAGGGTGCAGGCAGGAGTAGGAAGGGGGCATGGGGAGGGGGGGGAGGCGCAAGCAGAGGGGAACGGAGAGGGGACGCAAGCATGGGGCGGGGGTGGGGGGGGAGGCAGAGGGCAGAGGATGGGTAAAGGGGGCTAGGGGAGAGGGAGGGAGAGAGGGAGGGGGGGGGGAGCTGGGTGTTGCAACGGGTGCACGATATTGATCAGCCCAAGGGACCTCGCCACGCGTCTCCTGGGCCCGGCGACACCAGCCTCACCACACTCTGCCTCCGCCACCGCCGCCGCCCGGAGGAGGAGGAGGAGGAGGAGGAGGAGGGAAGAGGGAGGAGGAGGAGGAGGAGGAGGGAAGAGGGAGGAGGAGGAGGAGGGAAGAGGGGGGAGGAGGAGGAGGAGGAGGAGGAGGAGGAGGAGGAGGAGGAGGAGGAAGAAGAAGGAGGAGGGAGGAGGAGGGAGGAGGAGGAGAGGGTGGAGGGAGTAGGATGGAGGAGGAGGGATGATGGAGGAGGGAAGAGGGAGGAGGAGGGGAAAAGGGAGGAGGAGGAGGGGGAGGAGGAGGGGGAGGAGGAGGAAGGAAAAGGAGGAGGAGGAAGGAGGATGAAGGAAGGAGGAGGAGGAAGGCGGAGGAGGAGGAGGAGAAGATGTAGGAAGGAGGGAGGTGGTGGGGGAAGAGGGATGAAGAGGGAAAAGGAAGAGGAAGAGGGAGACAAAGAAAAAGAAGTGGAGAATAGGGAAGGGGAAGGGGAAGGGGAGAAGGGGAAAGGGAGAAGAATAAAGGAGAAACACTAATAAGAAGAGAAAGGAGAAGACGTGGAAGTGTGCATGGGAAAAGTGGATAAAGAAGGGAGTGATGAAAGAGAAAGAAAGACAGAAAGGAGGGAAGAGGCGGAAGAGAAGAAGAGTGACCTGCAAAGGACAGATAAGGAGAACGGGAAAATGAGAAACTAAGAATCGAGAGAAAGAAGGAGAGAAGGAAGAGAAGGGGGAGGATGAGGAGGATGAGGAGGAAGAAGAGGAAAGAGAGAGAGAGAGAGAGAGAGAGAAAGAGAGAGAGAGAGAGAGAGAGAGAGAGAGAGAGAGAGAGAGAGAAAGAGAGAGAGAGAGAAGAAGAAAACCCACTAAAATTAATAACAATAAACACCGCAAATTCACACACACACACACGCACACACACTCGGAAAAAAAAACCAAGCTCCAATACATAGCAAGTAAATGGACGACGAATCACGGGACCAAAAGATAAAGCGCTAACAAGTGCACAAAGCAGGGAGAGAGTAAATATGAATAATAGAAAGGGCTGGAAGAGGATTATGTAGGGAACAGAGGTCGATTTCTCAACGCCTCGGTGCAGTTGGCTTCGTGGTCTTTCTCCGTCTATGGGCCTTCGCTGAGCTTGGTCTTCTTGCTAAGTGAACTCATTTGAGTATTTTCTGAAGACATCTTTTATCTATTTGTTTATTTATTTATTTATTTATTTTTTTATCTATTTCTTATTTTTTTATTTTTTTTTATTTTTTTTTCATTTCTCGGTGGATGTTTTTTTTTCGTTTTTTTTTTGTTTTGTTTATTCCCGTTCCTCTCCTGGTATATATATGTTTTTTTGTTTTTTTTTTGTTGTTATTTTTTTGTCTTTTTTAATTCGATGATTCTTTTTTTCCTTTCCATCTCTTTTTTTGTAAAGGTTCTCCGCCATCTTGTTTTCCCTTTTTTTTTGCCCAGCATCCCCCTCGACTAAACTTTTTATTTCACCTTTTTTCCCCCTGCTCTTTCCTACCTTTTTTTTTCTTTTTCGTTTTCTGTTTCCTTTTTTTTTTCGTTTTCTGCTTCCTTGTTTGTTGTGTGTCCTCGCGTGTCCATATTTCGGGGGCGTATCATAGGGAGTGGGGGGGGGGGGCGGGTGTTATTCTCGTCCAAAATGATTCTTGAGTCAGAATTAATGACCTGATTGGAATACACTCATCGCCTCGCTGTGCTTCGTTGGATTCGCTAATCAAGCTTGTTTTGATGTTCTGTTCTGATAATATATATGCATACAAATCTATCTGGAGTTGCGCTTTCCTTTTCTCATCGGCTGAAGGGAAGATTAATTCCGCGTTTCTCTCAGCTCTGGCGACTGCTAACGGCCCCGAGCCTCCGTTTCCGGGCGTGTCCTGCAAAGGCTCCTCCTGCCCGCGAGGAAATCTTCCCGAAGTACCATAGGCATCCGGGGCTCTTCTGGCTGGTCCCTCCCGTCGCCACCTCAAGCCTTCCCCCTTCCTCCCTCTCTCTCTCTCTTTCTCCCTCTCCCTCTCCCGGCTTCCGCGTTGGCTGGGTGTCTTGAGGAGCCTATAAGGGGTAGAGAGGGCGGAGGGGGAAGGGAGTGAGGGACGGACAGGGAGAGGGAGCGGGAGGCCCCTCGGCGACACTGACATATTCCGTGGCAGGTCCTGGCGCGGCCTGGACACCGCCGCCCCACGCCACCGCCAGCCAAAAATTCAGCCATCAGCGGGTGCCCTTGCGCCCCTCTGGCCCGGGGCTCGGGGTCTCAGGGGCACCGACCACGCGAGACCAATTTTGGGCCCAAACGTGTCTCTCGTGTAGACTCACTTTGCCTTAAACTCCCTCGTGTTTTTACTTCTTTGTTACATGAGAACGTCCCTCAGGGACAGGTCCATTCATATCACACTCGTGGTGACCTATTTTCACCTTTACTGAACCTAACCAAACGAGCTAAATTGTGTTAGTGGTGGTGGCAGCATATTGGTCTATGTGGCGCGCGGGTTGCGTGGCTGTTCCGGCGAGGCCCCCTTCCCTGGGGAGCAGTCCGAGGCGCTCCTCCTCCAGGGGGC